TTATTATATTTTCCTTTTCTCAATGGATACTCGATTAAATTTTTTATACTTCCTTTATAATAAAATACCTTTAATATTTTTTTTTTCCCCAAATCAAATTCAATATTATATCAATTTAATCAAAAATAGAAAGAATAATATATTATTGCGTATAAAAATGTTGTCAATGATATATCGTATTAAAAAAAAACAAATTAATTATTGTCCGAAATAACAAAAAAAAATTGACGAATACGAATAATTAAGTTCACTCACTGTATATATATATATATATACCATGTATATGATTATTATGTCATACACATGATCGATCACGATAAATCGATATTTCGGATGCTATTTACAAGCCGAGTAAATTTATTTAATTAATCGGAGAGAAGGGTATGGTGACACAAAATAACGTTTCCCGTCCAATCGTTGGAAGAAAAGAGAGAGAGATAGAGAGAGAGAGAGTGAAAGGAGAGGAGGGGGGGGGGGGGGGGGAAACGATCGTCCATTGTGAAACGAAATTATTTCATACATAAGGGAATAATCTCGACTCTAATTATATTCTCAATTTATATATACACACGCAAAAAAAAAAGAAAAAGAAAGAAAAAAAAAGAAAAATGATATACAATCTAATAATATATCAACCATATTATATTATAATAACCCTCCCACCCCTATTTTTTTTTTCTTTTTACTCTGTTCTATTTCTCTTACATCTTATAGATCGAGATTATTGCACTCGTTCTTTTTTTGTGCAATCGATTCGACACGATTCACTCTCATTCGTACTTTAACAACATATAATCACTCATCTCACACAGAACGTTATAATCGTTAAAATATCACGAACCAATCGAACCCGCACAAACGGCCTTGTTTTCCTTTCTTCATTTCTTTCATTGTTCATTCGTTCTTCGTATCATTTAATCTGACGATCCAAAAAAAAAAAAACATGCGATAATAGTAATTACCTATTCGCAAAAATCACTAGAAGAGATAATTTCGCGAAATAATAATATTGCTTGTTCGCACACAATACACAAATAGGGGAGGGGTTGTTTTTTTGAAAAACGTTTTCAGATTCCCATCCCGCGTGACAAATATATTCACTTTAATTCACAGATTCCTTCGGTTCCCTTTCCCCCCAATCCCCACAAGTTCCCCAAAATCACGCACTGATCATCGATGAGATTTGATTTTCTTCTTTTGCGTTTGAAGATTGTTTGTTCTCACTTGGTGATGATATTCGTCAATGAATTTTCACAATACTTCGAAATGTCTTTGTTGTAAATTACCTGTTGTTGTCACTTCGTACCTGGATATTAACGAACGATTATCATGAACAATCGTGTTGTCCGTAACAAGAAGGATTTCTTCGTTTTCATTAGACGACGACCTGTCGTATCACGCCGGCGAAAATGGCCTGTGAATTTGTGGTGGTTTTGGATTGACCGGTGGCGTAGCGACCCTTATTAAGCCTTGACCTTGAGCCTGGCCCTGAGGAGTGGGCTGATTCGAGGATGGGCTGCCCCTTGAGGATGGGGTATGTGGACTTGGAACAGCTACTCTCAACGGACCCGTTACCGACAGATTCGTTGCCATCAATGGCGGACTGTGAGGTTCTGAGAGTCCATCGGATAACCTGGAGCCCTCAGATATCCTAGATATTCCCTCGGGTAAAGGATGCTGCGGATGTGGATGATGTAGCAAACCTTCGTGAGGGTGCAACCTTGGCGGTGGTAGCCCAAGTGGATCTGGTAGTCTATGAATAAATGGAGAACACATTTTTGTTTGATTTTGTTGTTTAATTCATTGACATAATGAGTTAGGGTCATTTAAGAATTGTTTGGTGATTTTTACCTTGATCCAAGATCACCTCTAGGTCCTACTGCTTGAAAGGGACTGGTTTCTGTAAGCCTGAACATTCCACCACCTACGATGTTCGGATGATTGTGTTGAGGACTATGAGGACTATATCTAAAAGCACCTGGGAATTTGAAGCCTGTCGTTTGACTAAATCGGTACGGCTGATTTGGATCGAAACGAAAGCTCAATCCGGGTGGTGGAAGTGGCCCGAGTGGGCCCAATGGTACGGGAGAGGGTTGATGTGTTGGGGTCGGCGAGGAATTCGGCGATGCTTGTGATGTACCACCGAGTGAAATGTCGGAATCCTCGGAATCGCTACCACCTGGTCCTGGACTCAAATTACGTCGATTGTTTCCATTTCCCGGGCTCGATTGTTGCTGCAATCTGAAGCAAATAATTTAATTGATTTTATTTATTATTGCAACACCATTTTTTTACGCGTTATTTATTTAATTATTTATTTAATTATTTATTTATTGTTTTTTGTTGTTTTTAAATTTAATTATATAATTGTTTGAAATTTTATTATTATGTTTATGTTAACGTATGTAATTTTTGTTATTGTATAAATATTTCTTTCGACAAACATTCCAATCACTTTTATAAATTCATCTACGTTAGTTTTGAGTTGAACAAAAGAAAATACTTGTTTTAATCTATTAAGTATTTTGTATTTGTTTTCGAGTTCACATTTAGTTTCGAATATTCAGTTCATAAGTGTTTAATTGTGAGTCTTGCGTTGCATACATTAAAACAAGATGAAAGTTGCTTTGTTATTGGGTATGAATGGATAGAACGAGAGTGTCCAATGAGTAGTTTCGTTAATTTCACTTTATCTTGTCAATTATCAGGTAATTTGTATAATTGTAATACTTGTCTAACAGATATTGTCAATTTTGATTTAGTATGATTCTAATTAATATTCACAAGAGACATATGTATATATATTTTTCTTTATTAATCAACTATCCAAACCATGTTGGATCATTTAAATATCATGGAATCATTAAAATCAAGCAACATGGGGGTACGGTTAATAAAATGAAATAAAAAATCTATTATGAAAACGAAAAATTTGAATTATTCGATAACATCGGAGATAAGTATGAAAAGATATTATTCATAGTAAGTTGTATTCACATAAAAGTTAAAGTATTATAAAAAGATACAATATTATCTTTTGTTTAACCAAAAAAAAGAAAAAAGAAAAAAGAAAAAAGAAACAGAGTAGGTACAATAATAATATGACGGCTATTATCTTGGTCCTTTATTTTCACGAACTTAATCGTGTATCTGTTACTCGATATGAACAGACAGTCTGACGAAAAGGTTAACGAAGTTCATCGCCAGTACAAAGTCTCAAAGCTTGACCAGCTTTAGATAGAAGAAGAAGAAGAAGAGGTGTGCGTAGGTGTAAGATCATCGTTGGGGAATTTTAATCGTTCTCTTGGTTCATCATACATACACATATACATATAATATATATATATATATATAGCTTATATAGCTTGGATGTGCACCTTAGTGAAAACGCTTTTGTTTCCAGTCATCACACCGGTGCGCACGCGTAATTAATGAGTGGGTTCATCCTTCCCAGGTGAGCAGCAAGGATTCACGGGAGAGTAACGATGATTCTTCTTTGCTCGTTTTTGTGTGTTAGTTTCTTTGGTAAGAGAAAGAGAATAAGAGAGATAGAGAGAGTGAGAGAGAGGAAAGAAGAAGGGATCCACCTCATTACTCAAGAGAGATTAGAAATAGATATAGAAACTCGACAAAAATCTTCCCACGCGACCTATCCTTCTTCTTCTTCTTCTTCTTCTTCTTCTTCTTCCGGGCGACAAGAAATGACGAATAACTTTCTACCATAAAAAGATTCTTCATTCTTGTACTTACTTGTCGACAGAGAAACGGTTAGTTTGTATGTTTATATGGTGAGGGGGTGGGAAGCTGGGAGGGTATGAGAATTTTGTTTACCACACACGATGATTACAAATTAGGTTTTATAATATTATAAATATATAAATTATAATATTATAATAATTATTATATTATATATTATATTATAATATATTGTATAATATAATATTTAGCAAAACTTTTTAAAGAAATTGCAAAGATGCACAATTTACAGCATTGCATTCTCTGACATTTTATGAAGTTTATATGCTAAATTTATAATTTGATATGGTATTCTACGTTTAGACAAAAGAGTGTACTTTAATTTAATGTAAGTTTCATTAACATCTATTCACTTTTAGTATGAAAAATATTTGCCGAAACTTTTCAAAGAAATGGCAAAGTAGGAAAAATTTACGCCATTGCATTCTCTGACATTTTATGAACCTTTGCCGAATTGATTTATAACTTAAAGGTTTATTCTACGCGTAGTCAAAAGAGTGTACTTTAATTTAATATAAGTTTCATTAAAGTCTATTTACTTTTAGTATAAAAAATATTTACCGAAACTTTTCAAAGAAATTGCAAAGATGCACAATTTACAGCATTGCATTCTCTGACATTTAATGAAGTTTATATGCTAAATTTATAACTCGATATGGTATTCTACGTTTAGACAAAAGAATGTACTTTAATTTAATATAAAAATCAAATTTTATCATCAAATTTATATCAATTTTCTTTAATTGTTTGTTTATTTTTATTTTTCGTTTGTTTTTTTCTTTGTCCTAGCTATTAGGGTGAACCAAAAAAGTTTGTACATTTTAAATGAATATTTTCAAACTAAATTTTACGAAAAAACACAAATCTATTATACAGTTTCCAAGCATAATGTTTCACGCAATTTAGTAATTCACCCCGATAGAATATTTTTCTTTAATCGCGATGAAATAAAATTTAAAAAATATTACAACAATAGGAACATTTAGAAATTGAACCGTTTTCTTTCTTCTTCTTCTTCTTCTTCTTTTTATTTCTCATAAAATATATAACAATTTGATAGATTTCTTTTTATTTTTTGTTGTTTAACAAACATAGTAGTGTCTTCGCATGATGCTAGAAGAAATCGAAAAAAGGGAAATGGAAAAAGGGGAAATAAATTTACTTTTCGAAGTAAAGAAGATATTTGACGTTTAGATGGTAAGAAACGATGATGGTCTTTCTGAGCTATTGTCTAAGATGAAGAATCCTTTTGCTACTTGAAAAAGACAATGAGAATGAGAAAGAGAGACAGAGACAGAGAGAATGCTTGCGGTCCCCTTAAAAGCCCTTCGGAAACTTCAGATCGATTGAAACCGACAGACCTCCCAAGATCCTCTCTCTCTCTCTCTTTCTCTCTCTCTCTCTTTCTCTCTCTCTCTCGTATTTTCGTTGCTAATCGAGTCCTGAAGGTTCGAACTGTTACCACGGTAACACCTCCAGAACTGATCCTGGAGTAGATTTTTCTTCCTTTTTTTTTTTTTCATCGAGACAAGAAGATTCTCTTACTCTTCTTCATCATCGTTCGTATTTCATTCGATTCCATGGGAAAGTTTTTCTCTATTTTTTGTTTTATTTCTTTGCATACGAATACGAGAAGAAGAATCTTAAAAAATTTATCTCTTATTCTCATCGGGTTATTTTTTTGAAAAAGGAATAAAATTAAAAATTAAACGAAGAAGAAGAAGAAGAAGAAGAAGATGATAATAATAATAATAAATGATAGAGAAAGGTAGACACTACGCGTGGACTTTTTTTTTATATTTCAAAATGTACCCGCATTATTTCTTTCGATTTACACGGAATAAATCATTAAAATTTATTTCAGTATACGTTCTTTTGTAAATTAAATACTCCATTCCATTTAAAATATTTCAAACATTTAAAAGAATGATAAATTCTCTTATTTCTTTTTAAATTTAAGCACCAACATCACCAATCGAATAAAATTAAAATTCAATCATATAAATATGTTAAATATATGTAGAAATAATTTGAAAATATCAAAAAATTAAATGATTAACTTCCATATTTTCCTTTTTAAATTAAAAACACCAACGTTATCAAATCGAATAATCATTAAAATACATGTAAAACAAAACTGCTTATTATATTATAATATAAACCCTTTTCTATTATACTTATTGATTATAATCGATGTGTGTAAATCAGTAAATAGATATACATAAATCATAGTATAGTAATATAATAGATTCCAATTTCGTTATAATAGAATAGTAGAAAGAATAAGGGGGGAAGGGTTTAAGAAAAAAAGGGTTTTGAACGTAGTGAGATATAATTCGAGTTGAACAACTCTCACGTGGGCCTGTTTGGAACACGTTTGGTCATGGTAATCGAACCCCCACACGTATTTTCTCTCTCTCTCTCTCTTTCTTTCTTACTTACTATCCCTTTCCAGGTTCTTTCTTTTAACTAAGAGACAGTCGACAACGCGTTTTAATTATGAACCCCAAGAACCGTTTCTTCTCTCTTTGTCTTACTCTCTCTCTCTTTCTCTCTTTCTCTCTCTCTCTCTCTCTTTATTCTTTTATAAAATATAATACTACTACACCTACCCGCAGCACGAGCGGCACGACTTATTATGCGAGCCGAAAGCTCACGTTTTCTTTCAACCAATCACCTTTAGCCAAAGATCCTTTTCCCCCTCCCCCTCCCCCATTGAAAAAGCAAAGTAAAGCACTTTGACGTACGTGCGTGCGTGCATGGTTGAAAACTTGGCGGATGTTTCACAGCCTTAAACCCCCCCGATGTCGATTTTTATTATTAAAAAATAAAAGATGAAAGAAAAAGAAAAAGGAAAAAAAAACGACGACGTATAAGAAAGAAATGGGGGTTATGGTTATGGGGGTAAGAAAAAGGAGGATGGTGGCGGTGTGCAGACTGGAAGAGGCCAGGTATTACGTTACTCTGATCTTTTAATACCGAATCACCGCGCTCATTATTCTCGTCTCTCGTTTATTCTATACCTGTCTCTTTTCTCAACTCTTTCTTTATCTTATACGTATATACGTATACGTATACGTATATAATATCAATGTGTGAGAAAAGATGGGCGGTAGGTAGGTAGGTCGACGTACGATTAATTACTCTCGAAACTCGCGTGAATCGTCGCGAATCGATCGTGAAACGTTTCGTTTCGAGGGTTTCATCTTTCTTTTTACTTTTTTTTCAATAAAAAACGGGGCCCTTCTCCCCCTCCCTTC